ATGAAAATTGTGTGATCTGTCAACTCCTGGAAAAGGCATAATGAAAATTAAAGAGGGAGGTACCTCTAAAGGAAAAAAAAAAAAGCAACCAATTGAGGTACACCACTAACACAGCATCACTCACAGAAAGTAAAAAAAAAAAAAAAAACAACCAATTGAGGTACACAACTAACATAGCATCACTCACAGAAAGTACAAACATGTTTGGAAAAAGAATTCTCAACCATACACCTTTACTATAACATGTACTTTCTCCACAGAAGTGGAGAAGGAACAAATCCCAGGAAAAGCGAAGAGTACGTGACATACTGCAACTATACTTGTACTTAAAAGTTTCATATAACTATTTCTAAACACTCCAACTTGTAAATACTGAAATGTTACCAAAAATAAGAAAAATCCACATTTAGAAAAACCCTGACCAGTTTCACTGCATTAAGAAATGTAATCCAACAGATTACCTTTAGTATTAGTTTTGATGAAGAGCTGTCTTTCCATTTTTTCTATATCAGCTGCTCCATCTTGTTTAAAAAGGAACGTACTGGTAAAGAATCAAGCACCCTTTAAAAACAAGAACATTCGCAAATGCCTATGTCTTTCCACTCCAACCCTAATGTATTTAGGGATGTCACAAAACCTAAGCTGTAAAGCTCACTAAACCAAACATGGAGCAAATGCATATGGAATTGCTACAGCAGTGGCCACTACTGCCCTGACTGGACACAACATGCAGATGGTTGGCTGTGAAAACAGAAATAATGTTTTTATTAGCGCTGTGAAAACAAACATACCCAACCAACACATGCCAAGTCTTGATGTCCCTTTCCACCTTCTTGCAGGCTGGCAATAAAAGTCTATTCACAGATGGGCTGTTCTCAGCAGCCACAGAAAAATGCCACCTTGCAGAAACACAGACCTGTTTTCCAACTACAGATTTCCTAGGAGGGCTTTTGTAAAAGGCTTTCTAGCAGAGAACCAGATGCAAACATGTCATATGAGAGGGTGGGCTAGGCTCTGGCACTGAAAACTCACATAGCAGCAGCACTGCTGCAGTGGCCAGCTCCTCACAGGCAGCTCCATGGCTGCCACTGGGCCCAGAGCACACCCAGCACTCCTCAGCTCAGCAGCCCAGGGCTTTATAGGAATCAGAAGCCAGAAGACAGGGTGAGTACTATGTATTATGAACTTCACAGTTCTTCACGAAGTGGGGCAAAAATTAGCAAATGTTTGGAGCCATACTTCAGCTTGTATCTATCAATCTATAATATGAGATCTACATACAAAAGAATATTACACTGTTCAACTGCCTGAAAGCTAACAAATACAAAGGCAGCTGTCCATACAACTTTTAACTTATCTGGCCTAGGTATCGGCATGATACATTTTAATATCACAATACCTCCCTCTAGACCTTTCCTCAGGCAGCACTGAGAAGGGATGGCAGCCTGGGAACGGGTCCACAGCATGCAGCAAAGCAGGCTGCTCGTCTGCTGGTTACAGAAGCTGCAAAGTGCCACAGAGAATGGAGAGGACATACAAGAAGAGAAATTTTTCATGCTATCATGCTCTCGTTCCATAAGCTACTCCTTTAAATCCTGTTAATCAAACATATTTTCCCCTAAAAAGCAAGTATCAGTCATTCCTCCACCTCTGCTTCTTTTATAGCCTTTAGACACGTGGGACATACATCTATTAGAAAAGCACCATGAGCAAATTTAAGTAGCTACCCAATTTGGAGAAAATGCATTATTTTCCTTTTCCCCTTATTTTGTAACAGAAGTTCTATGTAAAAAGGATTAATGTTTCTAAATAAAATTTTAGATAGGCAATATCAACTACATTCCCTATTCTGTATGCAGTCAGCTGGCCACCTTACTCTCGGAAGGTGAACCGTGCAAAAGACTGAAGAAGCAGAAATGGTGCTTTGAACATGTGCTCCATGTCAAATAGTCTGGGGGCAGTGAGCAGCAGTGCTGCCTTCTGAGAGTGGGTGCAGCTCATGGGCATGGTCAGTCTTGCCCCCCAGGAACATAAAACTCCACACCATCAAGCCAAAGCCACATTAAGCCCAAGACCTCATCATCTCTGACACTGGACAACAGTAGCTATGTGGACAAAAGCATAAGCATGAGGCAAGGATAAAGCAGGATTTCCCAGCAGGCTTTCAGCCATATATATATAGGGGAAGATGAGTCTGATCCAGAGACAGGGATTTTTTGTATTTAATAATCCCAAGGAGAGTTTTCTTCCAAGACTATCTGATCACTTCTGGAATTCTGTCAGATGTTAGCACTCCAAACATCTATGGGCACAGAATAGCTTAACCACACATCACCTGAGAAACTCCTCCTGGTTAGCTCTGAGGATGTCAGCTGCTCATTCCTCTTCATACTCTAATAGTGAAATAGTTCCACACTGGAATATTTCTTGCCTTTTCACTGCTCACCATCTCCTCATCATCAACATTCTTACCACCCATGTGGTGAAAATAAGTTGGTATTTGGGGAGCCCTTGTGATTACCACAGAAAAACCTATAAGTAAATTAATAATCCTGTACTCAAAGCAGGATTAGCGAAACACGCATGTTAGAATGAGGCACTGACCCACTTTTAACAATAAATAGGACTACCCAGTTAATTAGTCAATGAGCATTATCTCCTCTGTGCACTGAATGAGGCTGGTGTCCAGTGAGGAAGGAGCAAGAGAAGGTGGCATCCACAGTCACCTTAAGACTATCAAATTCTTCTGAATTAGACAGTCAGTGACTGTACAGGCAGGTGATTTTTGGCAATTCCCACTTTCATATTCTTAACCTCAGAACGTTTTTAATATGACTTTGTGTCTTACTTCCTACATCCACAGAAATAAAACTTTCATTCCATCTACTTGTAAATCATACTGTTAACACCACAGGCCACCAGCAAGGTAAGGAATTTAGATACTAGCTTGTCAGTACCTACACATATCAACTTCAGACTTTTAAGGATTATTTTCCTTATTTTTTTCACAAATGCATCCCAAAGCAAAGTTTAGAAGTGAGATTAGGCCCATTTCCTGGCTTTTCAACTTTAATTTCCCTGTCCTTTCTTTCTGGGCTCTTTTCCTACCCAGTGTCCTTCAAGATCCACCAGTGGAAGCTTTTGCCCCCTACAACAAGCGATGTGGCCTTCCCAGCAGGCAGCCACTGACAGCATCGTAGCGGATTTATCCATTCTTGGAGCCCTCACTCCTCAACTGGGTACAACTGCAGCAAGCATCTTCAATAGAAGCAAGTGTTTCAAATTATTTGACTGCTCAGCAGTAGCAACCCCCAAGCACACACAAATTCTGAAGGTTTTTGCGTTAGATTCAGGGCTCAGGCAACTTTTTAACTGTTTCTTGGAAGAGCATCCTTCATATAGGAGCTTTTAGCTGCAAACTAAATTATGCATCCTCTCCCCAAGTCTGAATCTCCTAACCACTTTGTTTCCCACAGGGAAAAAGTACGTTTCACACCAAACTCTGTCCAAATGAAAAATTAGCAAAGATTGACTTATTGCTGCTGAATCCCTCCAACATATTTCTATTGAATTAAAAAAAAAAAAAAAAAAAGGCAAGAGAGCCTTCAGCTTGAATAACTTAAGTTCAACAAAAATCTGGAAGACTTTTAATAGAAAGCCTTATGCAGTAGTATATTAAAGGCTCCTCCTGAAAGGGAAGACATGACAGTGTTGTGTAAATGCAAGACACTGAGAAGCTACCAGCTACAGAGATACTACTCAGCAGCACAAGCTCACCACACCTGGCAAAACAACAACTGCAGGACCCTCAAAGATTTATCAAGCACTAAAAACCTACATACAGGATGTTCAGCATGGTTGTGTCTTAATTTCAGAAAAAAATATGGTTGTGACCATTTAGTAGCCAAAGCATTTAATGTAAATAAATGCCACATTTCTGTCAAAAATCAATACTGCAGCCAAGCTTAATATACTCGTGTAAAGAGGCACGGCTTTTCTCAAGGAGCATGTTTCCCTAGCCTGCCAAATGCTGCTTCTCCTACAAAACAAATGGTTATTAAAATCAGTTCACTGCAAGCTCCATCTAACTACCGGCCTGCACATCAGGAGGATGCAACACCAACCAGCAACAGCAGTGCAGCTCTGCGTGACATACAAGCTATCTGAACTCTCACCATTTGAAAAAGGGCTGCACATAAGGGTTGGAAAAGCTCAGAAAAAGATTTTGAAACAATTTCTGCTCATAGCAGTAAATAACACAGACATCTATCACAGAAGCATAGTAACATTAAGGTTGGAAGGGATCTGGGGATCATCTAGCTCAATCCCCCTGCCAAGGCAGGATCACCTACAGCAGGTTACACAGAAATCTGTCCAGGTGGGGTTTGAATGTTTCCAGACAGGGAGACTCCATAATCTCCCTGGGCAGCCTGTTCCAATGCTCTGCCACCCTCAACGTAAGGCAATTCTTTCTCATGATCAAGTGAATCGCAACTTATAAATTTTTTCCGTAATTTTAATGCTGTATTTTAGCTGGAGCATTTCAAACTTCCAAGAGCCGACACTCAATATACGCTGCTCGGAAGACCCATCCAAGGGTACCGCTCGGGAAAGCGCTGCCTCCCTGCTCCCAGCCTGACTTCGGGTAGGGAATACCTGTGAACCTACACCAAGCCTAGCTCTAGAGGGACGGATGGGCAGCTGCCCGGGAGCCCCTTTAAAGCCACACAGGAGGAGCACCCTCCCAAAAACACCTGCCCGCTCCTTCCCATCGGTGCGGGCCGGGTCTCCGCTGGGCAGCCAGCCCAGCCCCGTCCGCCCGCCCGGGACGGCCGCAGCCGGGCGGGCGGCCCGGGGTCCCCCGCCACCACCACGGCTGTTGTTATTTGTTTCCGGCAGCACCGCGGCGTGTCGGGGATGAGGAACAACGCGCCGCCCGCCGCCCCCTCCCGGCAGCGCCCCCCCGGCCCAGCCCAGCCCGGCCGCCCCGCCGCACTCACTCGCCAGCCGTGGGCCATCCAGCCCCCCGCCGCCGCCGCCTCCGCCGCCTCCCGCCCCCAGCTCGGCTTTTTTAGGCCCCACCACCGCTGCCGCCGGGCCCGAGCTGGCCCCGTGAGCCGAGTAGCCCGGCCCGGCGGCGGCGGCGGGCGGGGGGATGCCGAGAGGGAGCCCGCCGAGGGGGGGTGCGGCGGGCCCCGGGCCGGCGGGGGCGGCGCCCGGCTCCTCATGCAGGAACTGGCACTCCTCGCCGTAGAAGCAGGTCTTGTCCTTGGCGTAGTAGCGGCAGAACTTCAGCTTCACGGCCCCGCCGCCGCCGCCGGCCCCC